TCGGCAGGTCTGCGAGGGGCCGGGGGCGGCGGGTTCCGTCTGCAGACGAAGCCCCCATCCTCCCCATCGCTCCAGCCGGGCAAAACTCCTCCGAGTTTTTCTTCTTGGCTGTGGAAAGGTTGAGCAGGACTCCTGCCTCCGTGTTGTCGGCTTCCCCTAGCAACTCGGCTATTTTTTTTCATTTACTTGTTATTGGCGTTGTTGTTGAAAGAGTGATATTGTCGGTCCTGCTGCTTCAATGGGTTTTCCAGCGCTCTGCTCTTTCCGCCTGGTACTTTTCTATGCCGCAGGTTCCGTCCGAAAGGCCAAAGAACGGTGCCGGTACCTGGGACTCCCGTTTATTTCAAGGCAATTTCCTTAAGCCTGAAAAATGGTCCGTTCTGTTCCCTGAACTTTTCATACTCTGATTATGGCGAGTACCATAGATAGGATTTGCATGAAGCGAAGGAGGGCGTCTATATTATATGTATCGGAGCAGAAAGGCGTATTGGGGATAACTCTAAAAGAAATTGTCGTCACCCAGGCTGTCTCGAGGTTTCTTTTCCCTTTTTCTCTAGAATGTAATAAAGTGAAACATCTCTCTCTCTTTTTTTCCTATCTGATTTTTTTTTAATCTCCAATGTCATTGAAACATTTTCGTTCCTGGTATCTCCAAAATTCTCGGCGGCGGTACTTATAGGTTCCACTTCGTTTTCTAAATGTCCCTCTCTTCTCTCCCCCCTACACATAAAAATGTGAATATTTATAACTGGGTGCATGCAAGGTATAACTTCTTAGGGGTTTTAATACACATATATAGTGAAGTTGGTAGGTACGCTGTTGAACAAGGGTCAGTATCTGAAAACAGATCAGTTTTGTGTTGTAAACATTTCCTATGAAGTCACTTTAAAGAGCATGCATTTCCTACTTTTTTTTTTAACCTTGATTTTGGAAATGCGGTAAAAGTTGAGACAGAAGTAATGAGTGATTTACAAGTGACTTCTTCAAAAGAATTCCCAACAGAGATTGCACAAAAAATATCATTTCAGCAACAATAACAAAAGACAGCGGAATAAAGGGAGTGCAGAAAGCCCACTCTGTAATACATTATAAAAATTACATCGGGCTACTCTTTGTGTATAAGCGGTGTCTCTGAAACTAAAATGCATGATCCTTTATAAATCTTTGACAAAGTTAGATTAGTTTCTTCGCTGACATTTTTGAAGAGGTCCATTTCTAAGGCTGACATAAATTACCACAGAGTAATACTAAGAATGTATTTCTGGACTAGGGGAGAAAAAGCGAGATTGTAGTAGAAGCAATAAAAAAAAGAATACAGCTTGAAATGTTAGCTATTTTGGAACAGTTCCCTTTCCTACTCGCAAAGTATCCTGGTATTTTATTAGTGATTTACGATTACGGTGATATTTTGAAATAAATTCTAAATTTCTGAGTGTTTGTAAATCAAGAGCTAAAATATTAGGTTAATATCAGGACAATTTGCGGTAATAATGAGGCCTAATGAGGTTGCTAGAAAGATAAAATGTTATTTACCAAAACACCTGATGGGATAATTTGACTTGCTGTGTTTTACTACTGATGATAAAAAGAATATTGATTGCAAATAAATCACCGTCTCTAAACGCTTGTAAACAGTTTGTGTTTGCTCTGCCCAGATCAAAGTAAAACTTATGAGATAAAGTGTCTTCATACCCATATTCTACAATGCGTGGGTCAGTTTTCATTCCAGAGTTTAAAGGCTTCTCTAACAGTTAGAAGTTAATGTTTTACTCCAGAATCCTGGGGTATGATTTGTGGGGCTGTGGTGGTGATGTTGGCTTATGTGTGGAAAATCTTTTACATTATAAGTGTCTTCGCACTGAAGTTGTGCATTCATCTCCTCAGTCTTGTCTTGTTCCAACTCCTTTTAAAAGCAGATCTGGGGAGGAAAAAAAGCAAAAAAGAGAATGCTTCGCATGCATTTGTAACATCCTCCTGGATATTTTGCAGATAAATGCGACTTTGTGCGCTGGCATTAGTATGTAACTGCGGTGTAGTACCTATTTTATCTGTCTGATAATTTCGAGAGCACAGTAAATTATCTTGCTGTGACGAAGTTGCTGCATTTCCTTCCTTTGATTTCCTTTGGTTTTCGGAGAAAATACCCACAATGTCTAAGCCCCGTTTAGCACCTTTCTTTTCCTTTCCCTGCAAGAAATGGGGATCATTTGGGAACACCTCTGTCTGACCTAAACGTGAAGAGCCTGGAGCGGGGAGGGCCGAATTTGGCTGTGAAGACCCTTTGCACCGCTGAAAGGCGTATTCCGGCTCCCGGAGTAGCCTATTCAGGTCTGTTAGAGACGCTAACGAGATAATTGATGTGCTTTTTCCTCTCCGCTTGTTTGAATGTGTTGCAGGGCTCCCAGTACGAGCTGAAAGATAATCCGGGCGTCCACCCAGCTACCTTTGCTGCCCACACTGCCCCCGGCTATTATCCCTATGGACAGTTCCAATACGGGGACCCGGGGCGGCCCAAAAACGCCACCCGGGAGAGCACCAGCACCCTCAAGGCCTGGCTCAACGAGCACCGCAAGAACCCCTACCCCACGAAGGGCGAGAAGATCATGCTAGCCATCATCACCAAAATGACCCTCACCCAGGTGTCCACCTGGTTCGCCAATGCCCGACGGCGGCTCAAGAAGGAGAACAAGGTGACCTGGGGCTCCAGGAGTAAGGATCAAGAAGATGCAAACCTATTCGGGAGTGACAATGAGGGGGACCCCGAGAAGACTGAAGATGATGAGGAAATCGACCTGGAGAGCATAGACATAGATAAAATCGATGAGAATGACGGGGAGCAAAGCAACGAGGAAGAGGAGGAGAAGCCCGAGCTCCTGAGACAAAGCAGTGAAGAGGATCACTTGGAAAAGGAAAAGGATTTGGCACTGTCAGGCTCTGAAGGGCTGAAACCCAAAGACCCGCTGGCCATGGTGAAGGAGGCCTCCGACAACAGCACGAGAATCATCAGTCCCGGGGGACCGAACAATTTACAGATGCCATCTCACAGCAAACCCAAGATTTGGTCTTTGGCAGAGACGGCAACCAGTCCTGATGGTGCCCTGAAATCTTCTCCTCCACCACCTCCTCCTCCCCAGGTTAACCACACTTCTCCTCAGATCCAGCACCCCGCTTTTCTCCCTAGCCATGGACTTTACACATGCCAGATCGGCAAATTTCACAACTGGACAAATGGGGCTTTCCTCACTCAGAGTTCCCTGCTGAATGTGAGGTCCTTTTTGGGAGTAAATCACCACCACGCCGCTCACCACAATCACCATCTCCAAGCCCAGCAACAGTCTTCTGTTTTAACAGCAACCCTGGGCACCCTAAGCAGTGACAAAACTTCAGAGAGGACCAGTCCTAAACACATAGGTAATTAATGCATCAGGCATCTGCCTCACCCTCCAACCCCAACACACGCACATGAACTTCTCCTCGAGGAATGATGTCACATTCAGCCCTGGTGTAACTGATTGCTGTTAACGGAGTTACAGTTTACCCTAGCGTTGATTTTTCTCGTCTCGCC